ATCCCGAAAATCGGGGGCAGGGTCAGGGCCAGCAGCGGCAGCAGCCGGGGGAGGCTCCGCGCTCCGTCCATGGCGCTCCGGGCACACCGGGCAGGGTCGGTGCTGCTGCCAGGAACGCGGATCCGAACTGGGGGCACTGGGAACGGGGGAGCAGCAGCCCAAAAAGCGCTCAGGCAATGGGAGAGCGGAGTTTAATGAGGCCGGGTAGAGGGTGTTGGCGGGTAGAGGGTTAATAAATTGAGCTCGCTAAGAAATTCTGGCGAATCAGAGGACGGAGCGGAAAGGAGTCATCAGTTGCTGGGCAGAGGGTCTGGAAATCGGGCTCCAAACGAACCGGCCAATTAGAGAGCGCAAAAATCACTTCGGCCAATTAAAGAGAGGCCAGAAAAAGCCCAACCAATGAAAGCGCGGCCAGAAACCACGCCCGACCAATCAGGGAGCGCGTCCCTCATGACCCCGCGCCGCTCCGGGCTGGTTCTCGCAGTTGAGCGCGGTTGGTTCGGGGCGGCGGTCGCTGGCCATGGGGCTCGGGGCGGCAGCCGGGGCCCTGCTGGTGGCACTGGGGGTGCTGGGAGCCCCCCCGGGTGCGGGCGCGGAGCTCTCGGGTGAGCGGGGGGCGGGAGGCGCTGGGCCAGGGCGGGAGAAGGGGGAAAAGGGGGCGAAGGGGGAGGCCGGAATGGAGGGGGAGGAGAAGGGAACCCCCCAAAGGGAGAGCGGGAGGGGCTGAGGGGTGGGGGGAGGGGAGGGAGGGGTGGGAGAGGGTGGGGAAGGGGGGAAAAGGGGAGGGGGGACCCCAAAACTGAGCCGGAGGGGGCTGGGGATTGGGGATTAGTGGGAAAATGGGGAAATGGGAGCCCAAATGTGATTTGGGGAGCGGCCGGAGGTGGGAGGGGAGAGGATGAGGAAGGGGAAATGGGGGAAGGGCGGCAAAGAGGAAGCGGCAGCGCGGGCAGGAGGGTCCCATGGCGGCCGTGGGGCACAGGGGGTGCGGAGTGGGGATCCGGGGTGGGCCCGGAGCTCTGGGGGTGCTGCTGGGGGTGCTGGGGGGCACCGCTGAGCTGTGTGCTGCACTCACAGGGTGTTCCAGCTCCTGCCAACGTACGAGTGTCACTTCATTAACGGCACGGAGAAGGTGAGGTACGTGCATAGGTGCGTCTACAATCGGAAGCAGAACTTGATGTTCGACAGCGACGTGGGGCACTACGTGGGGTTCACCCCCTATGGGGAGATACGGGCCCGGTACTGGAACAGCAACCCGGTCGTACTGGATCGCAAAAGGACTGCGGTGGACTGGTTCTGCCGGGGGTGGTACGAGAAGCTTACCCCGTTCATCACGGAGCGCCGAGGTGAGCGCGGGGCAGAGCGTGTCCTCTCGGGCCCTGCCCTGCCAGTGACACTGGAGCCCTTGAAAACCTCCATGGGAATCGCCCCAGAGCTCTGAGCCCTCCTTGTGACCGTCCTCGGGGCCCCTTCTCCCTTACAGTGACACCCCCAGTTCCTCCCGGTCACTCCCAGTCCCTCCCAGTGCCCCCATTGGCGTCCATTTCAGCGACGCGTGAAGCTGACGCTTCGCAGCCAATGAGATTTCATCTGTCGCATGACTCCCCTGTTGCCAGGCAGACCCGCAGCTCCGAGTGACCCGCGCTGGACTCGGCCTCCCAGCGCGGCGCGCTTCATTCCCAGTTCCTCCCAGTGCCACCAAAATCCCTCCCAGTGCCATGCCAGTCCCTCCCAGACAATCTCCAATTCCTCCCCAGTCCCTCCCAGTCCATTTCCAGTCTTTTCTCAGTTCACTCCCAGTTCACTCTCAGACGTACACCCTCTCTCCCAGTGCACGCCCATCCCCTCCCATCTCACCAAGTGCTACTCAACTCCATCCCAGTTCCTTCCAGTCTATTCCCAGTCCCTCCCCAGCCCTTTCTTCTCTCTCCCAGCTCTCCCCAGCTGATCCCAGTGTGTCCCCGCTCTCTCTCTCTCTCTCTGTCTCTGCCAGTGCCCCCCAGCGTGTCCATCTCGCTGGTGCCCCCCTCGAGCTCCCAGCCCGGCCCCGGCCGCCTGCTCTGCTCCGTGATGGATTTCTACCCTGCTGCCATCCAGGTGAGGTGGTTCCAGGGCCAGCAGGAGCTGTCGGAGCACGTGGTGGCCACGGACGTGGTGGCCAACGGGGACTGGAGCTACCAGCTGCTGGTGCTGCTGGAAACGCCGCCCCGGCGCGGGTTGAGCTACAGCTGCCAGGTGGAGCACGTCAGCCTGGAGCAGCCGCTGAGGCGGCACTGGGGTACGGGGGAGCCCCTGGGGGCGCTGGCAGAGGCGCTGGGCTGTGCTGGGAGGCACTGGGAGGGAGGTGGAGAGAGGCGGGCTGGGAGTGGGAGAGGGGCTGGGGGCTGGGCAAGGGCTGGGCAGGGGTTTGGGGGATGCTGGGGAGGGTGGGATGGGGTTGGGGGGGTGCTGGTGGGCACTGGGAGGGAGTTTGGGAGCGCTGGTTGTGACTGGGAGGGAATTTGGGGGCGCTGGGTGTGACTGGGAGGGAGTTTGGGGGCGCTGGGTGTGACTGGGAGGGAGTTTAGGGGCGCTGGGTGTGACTGGGAGGGAGTTTGGGGGTCCTGGGGCGCTGGGGGCAACTGGAGGGGACTGTGGGATGCTGAGAGGGACGGGAGGGGCTTTGGTGGCTCCTGTCGAGGCCCAAAAGGGATCGGGGGGAGGTTTCAGGGGGTCCCGGCTGGGCCGGGGGCCACAGGGAGGGCGCTGGGAGGGGCTGGGGGTGTCGGCGAGAGGTTTTGGGGGCGCTGAGCCCTGCGGACCCCGCAGAGATGGCGCCGGACGCCGGCCGCAGCAAGATGCTGACGGGCATCGGGGGCTTGGTCTTGGGCTCGGTCTTCGTGGCGCTGGGGCTCGGCTTCTACGTGCGCAAGAAGGTGAGGGCGGGTGCCGGGGGCGGCGTGGCCGCCGTGGCGGAGCCCCGTGCGCGCTCCCGCCGGGGCCCCCAGCCCGGTGTCACCCCCTTTTCTGTGCCCACAGAGCTCCTGAGGCGGCGGCGGCCGCAGCCCCTCCCCGCGGGCTCGGGCCCGGCCGGGACCCCCCGCTCCGTCCCCGCTGCGCTGATTCTGGGGGGGTCCCGTGTCCCCCCCAGCGCCGCTGGCGCTCTGCCCCCGCCCGGTGCCCGCTGCCAGCGCTCCCAATAAAGCTTCCCAGCTGGGCCCGGAGCCGTTTGTTGGGGGGCGCTGGGGAGGGGTGTGGGGGGGGCGGGGGGCGATGGGACGGATTTGGGCAAAGGGAGGGGGAGAAAGGGTGGGGGCTGGACCCGGGGGGAGCGGGAGGAGGAGGAGGAGGAGGAGGGAGAGGAGGAGAAGGAGAAGGAGAAGGAGAAGGAGAAGGAGAAGGATTTGGTGGGAGTAGAAATGTGGAGGGAGGAGGAGGAACCCAAAGTAAAAGACGGACAGATGAAGTCGACCGGGCAGAGGACGACGACTCGAATCGGATTGAATCTAAAAAATACTTTCCAAGTGTTATAGAAGTAATAAATACAAAAGTTGGTAATTTAGTAAGAATTACTTTGATAGGATTTAGGTTTACACAACTTTAATATAACTTAATTAGTAGTAAGTAATTTCCTTTACACCATTGTTTATAAAACTGTGTTTCTAAAGCTCAGAGGGACAAAGGGATCCGAACAAGAAATTCCAGCGATTCCCAGAACCGGGACCTTCACAAAACCCCACCTTGCCCCCCCAAAATCGGGGGCGGGAGCAGGGTCGGGGCCAGCAGCGGCAGCAGCCGGGGGAGGCTCCGCGCTCCGTCCGTGGCGCTCCGGGCACACCGGGCAGGGTCGGTGCTGCTGCCAGGAACGCGGATCCGAACTGGGGGCACTGAGAACGGGGGAGCAGCAGCCCAAAAAGCGCTCAGGCAATGGGAGAGCGGAGTTGATTGAGGCCGGGTAGAGGGTGTTGGCGGGTAGAGGGTTAATAAATTGAGCTCGCTAAGAAACTCTGGCGAATCAGAAAAAAGACCAGATATGGTCGCTAGTTGCTGGGTAGAGGGTCTGGAAATCGGGCTCCAAACGAACCGGCCAATTGGAGAGGGCAAAAATCACTTCGGCCAATTAAAGAGAGGCCCAAAAAAACCCCAACCAATGAAAGCGCGGCCAAAAACCACGCCCGACCAATCAGGGAGCGCGTCCCTCATGACCCCGCGCCGCTCCGGGCTGGTTCTCGCAGTGGAGCGCGGTTGGTTCGGGGCGGCGGTCGCTGGCCATGGGGCTCGGGGCGGCAGCCGGGGCCCTGCTGGTGGCACTGGGGGTGCTGGGAGCCCCCCGGGTGCGGGCGCGGAGCTCTCGGGTGAGCGGGGGGCGGGAGGCGCTGGGCCAGGGGGGGAGAAGGGGGAAAAGGGGGCGAAGGGGGGAGGCCGGAATGGAGGGGGAGGAGGAGGGGACCCCCCAAAGGGAGAGCGGGAGGGGCTGAGGGGTGGGGGGAGGGGAGGGAGGGGTGGGCGAGGGTGGGGAAGGGGGGACAAAGGGAGGGGAGACCCCAAAACTGAGCGGGAGGGGGCTGGGGATTCGGGGATTAGTGGGAAAATGGGGAAATGGGAGCCCAAAAGTGATTTGGGGAGCGGCCGGAGGTGGGAGGGGAGAGGATGGGGAAGAGGAAATGGGGGAAGGGCGGCAAAGAGGAAGCGGCAGGAGGGCAGGAGGGTCCCATGGCGGCCGTGGGGCACAGGGGATGCTGAGTGGGGATCCGGGGTGGGCCCGGAGCTCTGGGGGTGCTGCTGGGGGTGCTGGGGGGGCACCGCTGAGCTGTGTGCTGCACTCACAGGGGTGTTCCAGGAGCTGGGAACGTCCGAGTGTTACTTCATTAACGGCACGGAGAAGGTGAGGTACGTGCAGAGGTACATCTACAACCGGCTGCAGTACGCGATGTTCGACAGCGAAGTGGGGCACTACGTGGGGTTCACCCCCTATGGGGAGGTGAATGCCAAGCGCTTGAACAGCGACCCGGCTGAACTGGAGTACAGACGAAATGAGGTGGACAGGTACTGTCGGGTCAGCTACGAGGTGTCCACCCCGTTCATCACAGAGCGCCGAGGTCAGCGCGGGGCAGAGCGTGTCCCCTCGGGCCCTGCCCTGCCAGTGACCATCCCAGTCAATCCCAGTCCCTTCCAGTATATTCCCAGTCCCCTGACAGTCCACCCCAGTCCCTCCAAGAATATTCCCAGTGCCATCCAGTCCCTCCCAGCCCATTCCCAGCCCCTGCCAGTCAAGTACAGTCAATCCCAGTCCATTCTCAATCCGTTCCCCGTCCATGCCAGTCCCTCCCAGTCTATTCCCAATTCAATCCCAGTTCACTCTCAGACACCCACCCACTCTCCAAGTAACCCCGATCCCCGCCCACCTCTTTCAGCGCCACCCCACATCCTCCCAGTCTATTCCCAGTCCATCCCAGTCGCTCCCAGACGCTCCTAGTCCTTTCTCAGTCCATCCCAGTTCATTCCCAGTCCCGCCTTGTGCTATCACAGTGCCATCCCACTCATCTCAGCCCGTTCCCATCCTTCCCAGTTTATTCCCAGTGCCTCCCAGTCCCTCCAAGTGTATTCCCAGTCCATCAAGTGCATCCCAGTCCATCACAGTCCGTTTCCATTCGATCGCAGTCCATTTCCAGTCAGCCCCAGTCCCTCCCACTGCCCCCCCCCGCGCCATCATTTCAGCGACGCGTGAAGCCGACGCTTCTCAGCCAATCAGATTGCGTCTCTGTGATGACTCCCCTGTTGCCAGGCAGACCCGCAGCGCGAGTGCCCCGCGCTGGACTCGGCCTCCCAGTGCGGCGCGCTTCATTCCCAGTTCCTCCCAGTGCCACCAAAATCCCTCCCAGTGCCATCCCAGTCTCTCCCAGACCATCTCCAATTCCTCTCCAGTCCCTCCCAGTCCGTTTCCAGTCTCTTCCCAGTTCATTCCCAGTTCACTCTCAGACCTCCACTCTCTCTCCGAGTTCCACCCATTCCCTCCCATCTCTCTCAGTGCAACCCAATAAATCCTAGTCCCTCCCAGTCCACCTCAGTTCATTCCCAGTTCCTCCCAGTCTCATCCAGACCCTCCAAATCAATTCCCAGTCTATTCCCAGTACATTCCCAGTTTATTTCCAGACCTCCACCCTCTGTCCCAGTATCGCCCATGCGCTCCCACTTCTCTCAGTACCACCCAAGTCTGTCCCAGTCTATTCCCAGTGCCTCCCAGTATATTGCCAATGCATCCCACTCCCTCCCAATGCTATTCCCAGTCCTTCCAAGTCCCTCAAAGCTAATTCCCAGTTGATTTCCTGTTCATTCCCAGTTCATTGCCAGACCTGCACCCTCCCTGCAGTGCCCCCCATCCCCACTCACCTCTCCCAGACCTTCCCAATCCACACCACTCCCTCCCATTCCATTCCCCGTTCATCCCATTCCCTTCCCAATCCATTCCGATTCCATTCCCATTCTCTCCCAGTCGAATCCCAGTCCCCCCTATTTCATTCCCAGTCAATCCCAGTCCATCCCAGTCCCCCCCAGTCCATTCCCAGTCCATCCCAGTCCTCCCAGTCCATTCGAGTCCATTCTCAGTCCTTCCCCAGCCCAGCCCTCCCCTCTCTCTCCCACTGCCCCCCAGCTGATCCCAGTGTGTCCCCGCTCTCTCTCTCTCTCTGTCTGTCTCTGCCAGTGCCCCCCAGCGTGTCCATCTCGCTGGTGCCCGCCTCGAGCTCCCAGCCCGGCCCCGGCCGCCTGCTGTGCTCCGTGATGGATTTCTACCCCGCTGCCATCCAGGTGAGGTGGTTCCAGGGCCAGCAGGAGCTGTCGGAGCACGTGGTGGCCACGGACGTGGTGGCCAACGGGGACTGGAGCTACCAGCTGCTGGTGCTGCTGGAAACGCCGCCCCGGCGCGGGCTGAGCTACAGCTGCCAGGTGGAGCACGTCAGCCTGGAGCAGCCGCTGAGGCGGCACTGGGGTACGGGGGAGCCCCTGGGGGCGCTGGCAGAGGCGCTGGGCTGTGCTGGGAGGCACTGGGAGGGAGGTGGAGAGAGGCGGGCTGGGAGTGGGAGAGGGGCTGGGGGCTGGGCAAGGGCTGGGCAGGGGTTTGGGGGATGCTGGGGAGGGTGGGAGGATGGGGCTGGGGGGGTGCTGGTGGGCGCTGGGAGGGAGTTTGGGGGCGCTGGTTGTGACTGGGAGGGAGTTTGGGGGTGCTGGTGGGCACGGGGAGGGAGTTTGGGGGCACTGGGTGTGACTGGGAGGGGGTTTGGGGGTGCTGGGAGTGACTGGGAGGGAGTTTGGGGGTGCTGGGTGTGACTGGGAGGGAGTTTGGGGGTGCTGGGGCGCTGGGTGGCAACTGGGAGGGGGCTGTTGGATGCCGAGAGGGACGGGAGGGGCTTTGGTGGCTCCTGTCGAGGCACAAAAGGGATCGGGGGAGGTTTCAGGGGGTCCTGGCTGGGCCGGGGGCCACAGGGAGGGGGCCGGGAGGGGCTGGGGGTGTTGCCGAGAGGTTTTGGGGGCGCTGAGCCCTGCGGACCCCGCAGAGATGGCGCCGGACGCCGGCCGCAGCAAGATGCTGACGGGCATCGGGGGCTTGGTCTTGGGCTCGGTCTTCGTGGCGCTGGGGCTCGGCTTCTACGTGCGCAAGAAGGTGAGGGCGGGTGCCGGGGGCGGCGTGGCCGCCGTGGCGGAGCCCCGTGCGCGCTCCCGCCGGGGCCCCCAGCCCGGTGTCACCCCCTTTTCTGTGCCCACAGAGCTCCTGAGGCGGCGGCGGCCGCAGCCCCTCCCGGCGGGCTCGGGCCCGGCCGGGACCCCCCGCTCCGTCCCCGCTGCGCTGATTCTGGGGGGGTCCCGTGTCCCCCCCAGCGCCGCTGGCGCTCTGCCCCCGCCCAGTGCCCGCTGCCAGCGCTCCCAATAAAGCTTCCCAGCTGGGCCCGGGGCCGTTTGTTGGGGGGCGCTGGGGAGGGGTGTGGGGGGGCGGGGGGCGATGGGACGGATTTGGGCAAAGGGAGGGGGAGAAAGGGTGGGGGCTGGGCCCGGGGGGAGCGGGAGGAGGAGGAGGAGGAGGAGGAGGAGGAGGAGGAGGAGGAGGATTTGGTGGGAGTAAAAATGTGGAGGGGGGAGGAGGAACCCAAAGAAGAGGAAGGAGAGAAGACGAGGACTGGCCGAAAGAGGACGAACCGAACGGGATTAATTTTAATCAATACGTTTAATATTTTTAATGGTATTAAATCTATAAATTAGTGCTATATTAATGTGAGAATATTATAATGTAGGATTACATAATGTCATTACAATTGAAAAAGTTGTACATAATTTCCTTAACTACAGGGTTAATATAATTTTGTTTCCAAAGCGGAGCGGTACAAAGGGATACGAACAGAAAATTGCAGCAAACCGCAAATGCAGGACCCGCCCAAAAGCCCCTCCCTGGACCCCCAAAATCGGGGGCAGGGTCAGGGCCAGCGGCCGCAGCAGCCGGGGGAGGCTCCGCGCTCCGTCCGTGGCGCTCCGGGCACACCGGGCAGGGTCGGTGCTGCTCCCAGGAGCGCGGATCCAAACTGGGGGCACTGGGAACGGGGAGCAGCACCCCAAAAAGCGCTCAGCCAATGGGAGAGCGGAGTTGAATGAGGCCGGGTAGAGGGTGTTGGCGGGTAGAGGATTAATAAATTGAGCTCCTGAAGAAATTCTGGCGAATCAGAAAAAGGATCGGAAATTGAGTCATCAGTTCCTGGGTAGAGGGTCTGGAAATCGGGCTCCAAACTCACCGGCCAATTAGAGAGCGCAAAAATCACTTCGGCCAATGAAAGAGAGGCCGAAAAAAACTCCAACCAATAAAAGAACTGACAAAACCCACGCCCGACCAATCAGGGAGCGCGTCCCTCATGACCCCGCGCCGCTCCGGGCTGGTTCTCGCAGTGGAGCGCGGTTGGTTCGGGGCGGCGGTCGCTGGCCATGGGGCTCGGGGCGGCAGCCGGGGCCCTGCTGGTGGCACTGGGGGTGCTGGGAGCCCCCCCGGGTGCGGGCGCGGAGCTCTCGGGTGAGCGGGGGGCGGGAGGCGCTGGGCCAGGGGGGGAGAAGGGGGAAAAGGGGGCGAAGGGGGGAGGCCGGAATGGAGGGGGAGGAGGAGGGGACCCCCAAAGGGAGAGCGGGAGGGGCTGAGGGGTGGGGGAGCGGAGGGATGGGTGGGAGAGGGTGGGGAAGGGGGAAAAGGGGAGGGGGCACCCCAAAATGAGCGGGAGGGGGGTGGGGATTGTGGGATTAGTGGGCAAATGGGGAAATGGGAGGCCAAAAGTGATTTGGGGAGCGGCCGGAGGTGTGAGGGGAGAGGATGAGGAAGGGGAAATGGGGGAAGGGCGGCAAAGAGGAAGCGGCAGCGCGGGCAGGAGGGTCCCATGGCGGCCGTGGGGCACAGGGGGTGCGGAGTGGGGATCCGGGGTGGGCCCGGAGCTCTGTGGGTGCTGCTGGGGGTGCTGGGGTGGCACCGCTGAGCTGTGTGCTGCACTCACAGGGGTGTTCCAGCTCCTGCCAACGTACGAGTGTCACTTCATTAACGGCACGGAGAAGGTGAGGTACGTGCATAGGTGCGTCTACAATCGGAAGCAGAACTTGATGTTCGACAGCGAGGTGGGGCACTACGTGGGCTTCACCCCCTATGGGGAGATACGGGCCCGGTACTGGAACAGCAACCCGGTCGTACTGGATCGCAAAAGGACTGCGGTGGACTGGTTCTGCCGGGGGTGGTACGAGAAGCTTACCCCGTTCATCACGGAGCGCCGAGGTGAGCGCGAGGCAGAGCGTGTCCTCTCGGGCCCTGCCCTGCCAGTGACACTGGAGCCCTTGAAAACCTCCATGGGAATCGCCCCAGAGCTCTGAGCCCTCCTTATGACCGTCCTCGAGGCCCCTTCTCCCTTACAGTGACACCCCCAGTTACTCCCGGTCACTCCCAGTCCCTCCCAGTGCCCCCATTGGCGTCCATTTCAGCGACGCGTGAAGCTGACGCTTCGCAGCCAATGAGATTTCATCTCTCGCATGACTCCCCTGTTGCCAGGCAGACCCGCAGCGCAGAGTGCCCCGCGCTGGACTCGGCCTCCCAGTGCGGCGCGCTTCATTCCCAGTTCCTCCCAGTGCCACCAAAATCCCTCCCAGTGCCATGCCAGTCCCTCCCAGACCATCTCCAATTCCTCCCCAGTCCCTCCCAGTCCATTTCCAGTCTTTTCTCAGTTCACTCCCAGTTCACTCTCAGACGTACACCCTCTCTCCCAGTGCACGCCCATCCCCTCCCATCTCACCAAGTGCTACTCAACTCCATCCCAGTTCCTTCCAGTCTATTCCCAGTCCCTCCCCAGCCCTTTCTTCTCTCTCCCAGCTCTCCCCAGCTGATCCCAGTGTGTCCCCGCTCTCTCTCTCTCTCTCTGTCTCTGCCAGTGCCCCCCAGCGTGTCCATCTCGCTGGTGCCCGCCTCGAGCTCCCAGCCCGGCCCCGGCCGCCTGCTGTGCTCCGTGATGGATTTCTACCCCGCTGCCATCCAGGTGAGGTGGTTCCAGGGCCAGCAGGAGCTGTCGGAGCACGTGGTGGCCACGGACGTGGTGGCCAACGGGGACTGGAGCTACCAGCTGCTGGTGCTGCTGGAAACGCCGCCCCGGCGCGGGCTGAGCTACAGCTGCCAGGTGGAGCACGTCAGCCTGGAGCAGCCGCTGAGGCGGCACTGGGGTACGGGGGAGCCCCTGGGGGCGCTGGCAGAGGCGCTGGGCTGTGCTGGGAGGCACTGGGAGGGAGGTGGAGAGAGGCGGGCTGGGAGTGGGAGAGGGGCTGGGGGCCGGGCAAGGGCTGGGCAGGGGTTTAGGGGATGCTGGGGAGGGTGGGATGGGGTTGGGGGGTGCTGGTGGGCACTGGGAGGGAGTTTGGGGGCGCTGGGTGTGACTGGGAGGGAGTTTGGGGGTGCTGGGAGTGACTGGGAGGGAGTTTGGGGGCGCTGGGTGTGACTGGGAGGGAATTTGGGGGCGCTGGGTGTGACTGGGAGGGAGTTTGGGGGCGCTGGGTGTGACTGGGAGGGAGTTTGGGGGTCCTGGGGCGCTGGGGGCAACTGGAGGGGGCTGTGGGATGCTGAGAGGGACGGGAGGGGCTTTGGTGGCTCCTGTCGAGGCCCAAAAGGGATCGGGGGGAGGTTTCAGGGGGTCCCGGCCGGGCCGGGGGCCACAGGGAGGGCGCTGGGAGGGGCTGGGGGTGTCGGCGAGAGGTTTTGGGGGCGCTGAGCCCTGCGGACCCCGCAGAGATGGCGCCGGACGCCGGCCGCAGCAAGATGCTGACGGGCATCGGGGGCTTGGTCTTGGGCTCGGTCTTCGTGGCGCTGGGGCTCGGCTTCTACGTGCGCAAGAAGGTGAGGGCGGGTGCCGGGGGCGGCGTGGCCGCCGTGGCGGAGCCCCGTGCGCGCTCCCGCCGGGGCCCCCAGCCCGGTGTCACCCCCTTTTCTGTGCCCACAGAGCTCCTGAGGCGGCGGCGGCCGCAGCCCCTCCCCGCGGGCTCGGGCCCGGCCGGGACCCCCCGCTCCGTCCCCGCTGCGCTGATTCTGGGGGGGTCCCGTGTCCCCCCCAGCGCCGCTGGCGCTCTGCCCCCGCCCAGTGCCCGCTGCCAGCGCTCCCAATAAAGCTTCCCAGCTGGGCCCGGGGCCGTTTGTTGGGGGGCGCTGGGGAGGGGTCTGGGGGGGCGGGGGGCGATGGGACGGATTTGGGCAAAGGGAGGGAGAGAAAGGGTGGGGGCTGGGCCCGGGGGGAGCGGGAGGAGGAGGAGGAGGAGGAGGAGGAGGAGGAGGAGAAGGAGAAGGAGAAGGAGAAGGAGAAGGAGAAGGAGAAGGAGAAGGAGAAGGAGAAGGAGAAGGAGAAGGAGAAGGATTTGGTGGGAGTAGAAGTGTGGAGGGAGGAGGAAGAACCCAAACAAGGGGGAGGAGAGAGGAAGAGGACCGGCCCAAAGAGCACGAACCTAAAGGGATTATTTTAATCAATACATTTGATAATTTTAGTGTTATTAAATCTATAAATTAGTGCTATAATAATGTTACAATATTATAATGTAGGTTTACATTATTTCATTGCAATTGAAATAGTAGTAAATAATTTCCTTGACTACAGTGTTAATATAATTGTGTTTCCAAAGCGGAGGGCTAAAAAGGGATACGAACAGAAAATTCCAGCGCACCGCAAATGCGGGACCCCCCCATAAACCTCTCCCCGGACCCCCCCAATATCGGAGGCAGGCTCAGGGCCAGCAGCGGCAGCAGCCGGGGGAGGCTCCGCGCTCCGTCCGTGGCGCTCCGGGCACACCGGGCAGGGTCGGTGCTGCTCCCAGGAACGCGGATCCGAACTGGGGGCACTGGGAACGGGGGAGCAGCAGCCCAAAAAGCGCTCAGCCAATGGGAGAGCGGAGTTTAATGAGGCCGGGTAGAGGGTGTTGGTGGGTAGAGGCTAAAAAAATTTAGCTCGCTAAGAAATTCTGGCGAATCAGAAAAAGGGGCTTAAATGAGTCACGAGTTGCTGGGTAGAGGGCCTGAAAATCGGGCTCCAAACAGAACCGGCCAATTAGAGAGCGCAAAAATCACTTCGGCCAATTAAAGAGAAGCCAAAAAAAACCCCAACCAATGAAAGCGCTGCCAGAACCACGCCCGACCAATCAGGGAGCGCGTCCCTCATGACCCCGCGCCGCTCCGGGCTGGTTCTCGCAGTGGAGCGCGGTTGGTTCGGGGCGGCGGTCGCTGGCCATGGGGCTCGGGGCGGCAGCCGGGGCCCTGCTGGTGGCACTGGGGGTGCTGGGAGCCCCCCCGGGTGCGGGCGCGGAGCTCTCGGGTGAGCGGGGGGCGGGAGGCGCTGGGCCAGGGGGGGAGAAGGGGGAAAAGGGGGCGAAGGGGGGAGGCCGGAATGGAGGGGGAGGAGGAGGGGACCCCCCAAAGGGAGAGCGGGAGGGGCTGAGGGGTGGGGGAGGGGAGGGAGGGGTGGGAGAGGGTGGGGAAGGGGGAAAAGGGGAGGGGGGACCCCAAAACTGAGCGGGAGGGGGCTGGGGATTGGGGGATTAGTGGGCAAATGGGGAAATGGGAGCCCAAAAGTGATTTGGGGAGCGGCCGGAGGCGGGAGGGGAGAGGATGTGGAAAGGGAAATGGGGGAAGGGCGGCAAAGAGGAAGCGGCAGGGCGGGCAGGAGGGTCCCATGGCGGCCGTGGGGCACAGGGGGTGCGGAGTGGGGATCCGGGGTGGGCCCGGAGCTCTGCGGGTGCTGCTGGGGGTGCTGGGGGGGCACCCGCTGAACTCTGTGTGCTGCACTCACAGGGGTGCTCCAGTTCATGGGAAAGGTCGAGTGTTACTTCATTAACGGCACGGAGAAGGTGAGGTACGTGCAGAGCCTCATCTACAACCGGGAGCTTTTCATGATGTTCGACAGCGACGTGGGGCTGTGGGTGGGGTTCACCTCCTTGGGGGAGATGAATGCCAGGCGCTTGAACAGCGATCCGGCTGAACTGGAGCACAGACGGGCTCGAGTGGACACGTACTGCCGGCCAAACTACGAGGCGTCCCGCCCGTTCATCACGGAGCGCCGAGGTGAGCGCTGGGCAGAGCGTGTCCCCTCGGGCCCTGCCCTGCCTGTGACCATCCCAGTCAATCCCAGTCCCTCCCAGTCCCTTCCTGTATATTCCCAGACCCTCCCACACCTTTTCACGTCCCGTCCAAATCCATTCCAGTCCATCCCCAGTCCATCCCAGTGTCTTCCAATTCCTCCCATTCCCTCCAGTCCATCCCTAGTCCCTCCCAGTCCATTCCCAGTTCATTCCCAGTTCTTTCTCTGACTTCCACACTCTCTCCCTTTGCTGTGTACCCCTCCCATCTTTCTCGGTGCCACTCCAGTCCTTCCCAGTTCCTACCAGTCCATTCCAGTCCCACCCACCCCCAACAACTCAATTCCCAGTGTATTCTGAGTTCATTCCCAGTTCAATCTCAGATCTTCTCCCACGCTCACAGTAACCCTCATCCACACCCACCTCTCTCAGTGCCACCCCAGTTCCTCCCAGTCTATTCCCAGTCCATCCCAGTCGCTACCAGTCCTTTTCTAGTCAATCCCAGTTCATTCCCAGTCCTGCCTTGTGCCATCCCACTCATATTCAGCCCATTCCCAGCCCATTCCCATCCCTCCCAGTTCATTCCCAGTGCCTCCCATTCCATCCAAGCGTATTCCCAGTTCATCAAGTAAATCACAGTCCCTCCCAGTCCATCCCAGTCCATTTCCAGTCCATCCCAGTCACTCCCTGTTCCCCCCCGCGCGTGCAATTCAGCGACGCGTGAAGCGGACGCTTCTCAGCCAATGGGATCGCTTCTCTGCGATGACTCCCCGGTTGCCAGGCAGACCCGCAGCGCCGAGTGCCCCGCGCTGGACTCGGCCTCCCAGTGCCGCGCACTTCATTCCCAGTTCCTCCCAGTGCCACCAAGATCCCTCCCAGTGCCATCCCAGACCTTCCCAGACCATCTCCAATTCCTCTCCAGTCCCTCCCAGTCCATTTCCAGTGTCTTCCCAGTTCATTCCCAGTTCACTCTCAGACCTCCACCCTCTCTCCCAGTCTATCCCCAGTCCCTCACAGTCCGTTCCTTGTCCCTCCCAGTCCTCCCCAGTCCCACCCAGAACCTCCAAATCCATTCCCAGTCTATTCCCAGTTCATTCCCAGTTTATTTCCAGACCTCCACCCTCTGTCCCAGTACCCCCATCCCCTCCCACTTCTCTCAGTACCACCCAAGTCTGTCCCAGTCTATTCCCAGTGCCTCCCAGTATATTGCCATACAATCCCAGTCCCTCCAATGATATTCCCAGTCCTTCCAACTCCCGTAAAACTAATTCCCAGTTGATTTCCTGTTCATTCCCAGATCATTGCCAGACCTGCACCCTCCCTGCAGTGCCCCTATTCCCCACTCATCCCTACCAGACCTTCCCAATCCACACCAGTCCCTCCCCATCCACTTCCAGTTCATACCAGTTCATACTGCCCCCCCGTCCATCCCCAATCAATGTCTGTCCATCCCTGGTGCACCTCAGTAGATTCCCAGCCCCTCTCCATCAATTAGGAGTAAACCCCAAGTCCATTCTTGCTCCAGCCAAAGCCATCCCAGTCCCTCCCAGCCCATTCCCAGTCTCTCCCAGTCCCTCCCAGTCCATTCCCAGTCCCTCCCATTCCATTCCCAGTCCCTCCCCAGCCCAGCCCAGCCCAGCCCTCCCCTCTCTCTCCCAGTGCCCCCCAGCTGATCCCAGTGTGTCCCCTCTCTCTCTCTCTCTCTCTCTGTCTCTGCCAGTGCCCCCCAGCGTGTCCATCTCGCTGGTGCCCCCCTCGAGCTCCCAGCCCGGCCCCGGCCGCCTGCTGTGCTCCGTGATGGATTTCTACCCTGCTGCCATCCAGGTGAGGTGGTTCCAGGGCCAGCAGGAGCTGTCGGAGCACGTGGTGGCCACGGACGTGGTGGCCAACGGGGACTGGAGCTACCAGTTGCTGGTGCTGCTGGAAACGCCGCCCCGGCGCGGGCTGAGCTACAGCTGCCAGGTGGAGCACGTCAGCCTGGAGCAGCCGCTGAAGCGGCACTGGGGTACGGGGGAGCCCCTGGGGGCGCTGGCAGAGGCGCTGGGCTGTGCTGGGAGGCACTGGGAGGGAGGTGGAGAGAGGCGGGCTGGGAGTGGGAGAGGGGCTGGGGGCTGGGCAAGGGCTGGGCAGGGGTTTGGGGGGTGCTGGGGAGGGTGGGGTGGGGTTGGGGGGGTGCTGGTGGGTACTGGGAGGGAGTTTAGGGGTGCTGGGTGTGACTGGGAGGGAGTTTGGGGGTCCCGGGTGTGACTGGGAGGGAGTTTGGGGGTCCTGGGGCGCTGGGGGGCAACTGGGAGGGGGCTGTGGGATGCTGAGAGGGACGGGAGGGGCTTTGGTGGCTCCTCTCGAGGCCCAAAAGGGATCGGGGGGAGGTTTCGGGGGTCCCGGCTGGGCCGGGGCCACAGGGAGGGCGCTGGGAGGGGCTGGGGGTGTCGGCGAGAGGTTTTGGGGGCGCTGAGCCCTGCGGACCCCCCAGAGATGGCGCCGGACGCCGGCCGCAGCAAGATGCTGACGGGCATCGGGGGCTTGGTCTTGGGCTCGGTCTTCGTGGCGCTGGGGCTCGGCTTCTACGTGCGCAAGAAGGTGAGGGCGGGTGCCGGGGGCGGCGTGGCCGCCGTGGCGGAGCCCCGTGCGCGCTCCCGCCGGGGCCCCCAGCCCGGTGTCACCCCCTTTTCTGTGCCCACAGAGCTCCTGAGGCGGCGGCGGCCGCAGCCCCTCCCCGCGGGCTCGGGCCCGGCCGGGACCCCCCGCTCCGTCCCCGCTGCGCTGATTCTGGGGGGGTCCCGTGTCCCCCCCAGCGCCGCTGGCGCTCTGCCCCCGCCCAGTGCCCGCTGCCAGCGCTCCCAATAAAGCTTCCCAGCTGGGCCCGGGGCCGTTTGTTGGGGGGCGCTGGGGAGGGGTCTGGGGGGACGGGGGGCGATGG